GGTGCGCTATGGCTGCCCTCAAAACTGTCACGACAAGCAGCGTGGTGCACAGGCATCCAATTTTGGAAGCCCCGCCAGGCACCGTGACTGGCCCAGCTGAGGGTGAACCGGTGGGGGACTGGGCTCTGATCACCTTCCTTCTCTAATGTATAGATTTGCATATAGAGCAGCAGCATGTAGGATGTGCCAAGGTACCTACAGAGAGCTTCAGCCTGTGCCTGTTCCTGAGTAGGTGAATGTGATTATCTGTGATTTTATAGAGCGGGGAAATAATGAGGAGGAGGAAGAGGGCTGGGGGTCAGAAAGTGAGTCCCTGGTAACCCGCAGGACCTCAGCCATCCTCGCTGTCTGCTCTGATCATCAATAAGATCCTTCAGATTGCTTTGCTGGAGCCAAGCCCAGCCGTATCAGGGTTGTTCTGCGCTGGTGTCTGCTGGTTGTGCCAGAATCCAGCACTGCCGGCCCAGCGGGGTGAGGGGACGCGACTGCAGCCCTCCCAACCCTATGGCTGTGAAAATAAACCCGAGACATTCGTGATTTTACGTTCATCCTCCTGTCCCAGCCTCTGGGGTCTGCATGTTCCCGCTTTCAGTGCTAGCTCTGACCCGCTCATCTCTGGGAAGCTGCAAATACCAAAATGGTGAGAAAATGGTAAAAAAGGAACTCAATAACCCATCCCACTGGAAGGGGCAAAAACCCAGGGTGAGCCCCTCAGCTCCCCAGCTCCTGGCAGGCTCCCCATGGGCGGGTGCGGGGCTGCGCTGGTTCCTGCGTTGACTGGCAAAGCTCCTTGTCTGTCACGCCGAGAGCCCTCCTCTTTAGGAGGGATTTAAGGGGCTTTCTATGGCTAGAGACTTACAAGGACAAACAGCACCCCCAAACCCCAGAGCTCAGTGATGAAGCTGCTGATGGGGAGAAGATGGAAGGAGAGATTCCTGTCTAAAGCAGATGAGCTGAGCTGGAGGCATCGCTGCATCCTTCCCACAAAACAGGCAAGAAAAATGTAATCGGAGGAGCTGAAAAGCTGAGCAACCTGGCAGCCTGCATCCTGCACCAGCCCCCGCCGCCTCGGGCATCGCTTCCTCTCCCCCTGTGCCTCTCGCAAGCTTTAAGCCTTTCGTTTGCCATCTCGACTCCTGACAACCCTTGTCAATAAATGAGGTGAGCGTCCTCTTCTTGTCTCTCTCTGTGCAGAGGGCTCGCAGCGCAAGCCGTGGCGTAGGGCATGCGCTGAAATGAAGGAAGGTGGTCTGCATGAGGAGCAAAATGATCAAAAAATGTGGGTTTTCTGTTTGTTTTTTTGCCCCAAAGCTGACAATGGGAAGGAATTTGAGCGGCATTAATGGGATTGCAGGGAGAGAAGGGAAGCCGGCAGCCTCACGGCATCGCTAGCACTTAAATAGCCCTGTTATATTGACCGTGCTTTGACCACAGGGTTATAAAAAGCTGCCCAGCGATAAAACTTAAAGGACGGCTGCTGTTGTGATGCAATTGCTGTAAATGATTGCCCGAAGACCCGCTGTTGCTATGTGCGTGTCAAATCTGCTTGGCTTTTCGGCTGGAGACCGAGGGGGCACCCGCACGCGTTGCTGCCCGGCGGAGGGGGCAGGCTCTGCTGCTTTCCTGCCTCCTCGCAATGGTTTCTCCCAGCCTTGCTGCTTTTCCGCGGTGATGCGGTGGGCGATCCCACGGGAAATGCGGGAGGCTTTGGGAGCCAGAGCCGGGGAGTTGAGCAGGATTTTGGTGGCGGAGGTCAGGCACAGGTTATTCTGCTCAGCATTGCATAATCTTTTGTTTCCCAAGGTCTTCTTCCTGCCGAAAGGGAGCGGCCAGCGGCAGCTGCCAGTTGCCGTATGTCTTGCAGACGCTCTGCTCTCCCTGCCATGCCGTTTCGTGACCGAACACAATTTATCCGCGTCCTCTGGGGCCCGTGGTGAAGCCCTGCTGCCTGCAGAAGGGGGATGCAGGCTGCATCTCTGCCTGCGCTGAGGATCTCAGGGCTGCCTCCTTGCTTTTCTATTCGTACAGCTGATAAAACCTCCCTGACTACTTACTCTTGACCATCCTGATAAAGCTGCTGTAATTGTGTCAGGGAAGCCAGGTGTAACAGCAAAATCCAGGTGCTTGCCATGGCTTGAAGTGGCTTTTTTCACATTTTCCCCCAGAGGGACGTTTGCTTTGCAGGGCCGAGAGCAAGCAGCATAAACATTTTGTTGAAATCAGGGCTTAAACAGTTCTTCTCTTTGTGCACTTCTCCATGCTGCAGTCTCTCCACTTTGCAGAGAGTGAACGACTGGGGGAAGCTGGGGAGAGCGTAATAATATTTTGCCCATTCCTCAGGAGTGCCATGTGTCATCATTAATACACTCCAGCCCCAGAGGGAAACGGATTAGAGCTGAACAAATTATTATGGCAGGTCAGATCCTGGCTGCAGCACAGCTCGTGCTCCTCTCTGGCACCTCTCCTCCGAGGATTTGCAAGGAATTAGCAGATATCCAGGCCCTGCTACTCCCTGTGAGGGCCCAGGGCTCTGTACAGGGAGGTGCTGAGCAGTGGTGGCCCTCACTGGGTTGTGGGGAGGTTCATAGCTGTCAGCTCCATCGCCGACTCCTGCTTATGCTGCCCCTGCAGCAAAAGATGCTCTTGGCTTGTTTTTGGGAGCCAAACGTTTACCAGGATTTCTCTTGGCAGAGGAGGCTGTTTTTGTCATTCCCAGATCCCTGGATGGTTGGGACATCGGGCTCTGAGTCGACTCCATGGGCTCTGCATTGGCCCCACGGGTTCTGCATTGGCCCCATGGCTGCCTGTCACATTACCCTGCCGTGTTTTCCGCCCTCCACTCCACCACGTCGCATCTCGTCCCATTTTTCTCCAGCTGTGATGCGGTGCCATCAAGTTGTATAAAATCTGAGGCTCTGCAGCCTGAAGTAGGTCAGTAAGTTGGTTTTTTTTCCCCAGACGGATTATTCTTCACAGCGATGGGGAAGGTGAAGCTGGAGAACCCCACCTGGGTGCTTTGGGCAATAGAACATCCCCCAGCATCCCATGAGCATCCCCTCTCTGCTGTGAGCGGTTTCCTGGGGGCAGCTGGGATTTTGAAGGGCACTGGGGTGTGGGTATCAGTTCAGTGCGATGCCGTCCGCCTTCCCAAACCCGTGCCACGTCCTCGTCCTTGCAGGACACAGGGACTGATGGCAGCTTCACACCACGCCTGACTCATTGTTGTGCCTGGCCTTATGTAACCGGTACCGAAATCTCGCTGGCTGCTGGGGGTGGCGATGGAAAGGAGCCGGGATGGATGGATGGATGGGGGCGGGGGGGGATGAAAAGCAGTTCATCGCCATGGTTACCAGCATCTTTGCAAAGTTCTTCGCATCCATCTGGTTTTGTTTCCAGCCCTTTCCTCTCGCGGAGGGAACATCCCTCGATGTTTTCTGGCTGCGGCAGACAGCGCGGTGGCATGGAGGAGGCGCGTGGGAGGTGGGAGACGGCCCTGAGATGAAGCCTGACATCCAGTCGAGTCGTATAACCTCCTCTTCCTCCATTTCCCACCAAACAGCTCCACCAGGATGCACTCACTGATGGGATTTGGGCAGCGTTATCCCAGTCTGATGCCACATCCTGGTCCGTGAGCTCCAGGCTTGGATTTGCAGCAGGATCTAGGCTCATACCTGGGGCTGATGAGTATGGAGAGCAGCTCCATGGCCTGAGCCTGGGCTCCTGGATCTGCCCGCAGAGCTCCTGACCACCAGAACCTCCCAGCAAATCAATTCTGGAAATGAACAGGGTGGACTAATTGAGTTAATCCTGAGGAGTTAATCAATGCCGAGGCCGTTTAGCCAGGAGTGCTGTTTATAATCCATACAGAGATCGTTAGGACCTTGGGAAACGGAGGCACAGCGCAAAGCCAGGCTTTATGGAAATGGGAGGCAGAACCACATCCAGGTCCCAGGGGCTGAGCCAGGGGGCACTGTACCCAGTGCAGGAGCAGAATGTGACCCCCCAGCCGTGGGCAGAGCTCTCTCTGCTCACCATTACCAGCTCAGAGCTGCTTGGGGACCAAGGGCAGCCCAAACCTGGCACCAAACCAGCGCTGGAAAGCACAGCCAGAGCAGCGCCACGTCTGTCCTGGTGCAGAGGCAACTAAGCACCATCCAGTCAGGGCTCCCGCCGGGCTGGTGCCCAGTTCCCGGGCTCATCTCCCATTTGAAAGCAGAGCAGAGCGACTCCTTGCCAGCAAGGTCTGGATTTGGCTTCCCAGGGCTCCAAGATCTCCTACTCATTGGCTTGGATGGGACCATCCCAGAGCAGCGCCCGGCGGGGGATGCGGCTGTTTTGCACAGTGTTGTGGGCAACGCGGCGCTGCTGGAAAGCTCTCGCTGCATCCACATCCTCATGGATGAAGAGAGATCACCCATGCGAGGCCAAGCACCAAACCACAGAGATTTGGGTCTGCCATGCACCGCATCAGGGGAAGCCCTCAGGGACCTCCCCAGCCAGCAGTGAGGCACAGGATCTCCCAGGAGCACCCATTTCCAGTCCCTCCAGTTCAGCACCCAGAGCCTTACGGGGCATTTGCGTGGGAGCGGGGCCACTGTCCCCGACAGAGCCGGGTGGATCAAGCGCTGGCTGCTGTCCCAAGAGCTTCCAGGGCTGCCCGGATCAGCTGCCCCGGCTTTGCCAAGTGAACCGTTACCCAGATCGCCTGCCCGCCTGCCTGCAGTGAACAAACTGGTTTTAACTGGGGAAACCCAAGAGCCAGGCGTTGGGCTCCTTGCTGGCCCTCCCCAGGGGCCAGGCAGGGCCTGTTGGGGTCTGGGGGGGTCTTCAAGGAAGATGCAGGGGGAGGCATCCCTGAATTCAGTGAATAGAAGAGAAATAAAAGCCACAGAGGGGGGGACAATGGTGCTCCCAGCTTTGTTTTGCCCCGTCTGGCCACAAAGCACCCGTAATCCCAGCTGCACTTGAAGGGATTGTGCAGGGAGCTAAATGGGCAGCTCCCCACAGTGTCACTGGGATTTAGGTCTTTAATTCACCCCCAGGAATGTGCTTTTCCCTCCCCTCCCCACCATAGGGGTCACAGTTGGTACTTGCAGCCGCCTGGGGGGCAGCCGGGGCCCCCTTCCACAGGAACAGCCCCAGTCCCGGCTCTCTTTGCCCAACAGCATCAATAATTCACCGTGATTAGGTTCATCAATAATAAAGGTACCTTAGGCTGCCAGCCAGGGGACTCAGGGATCCCCATGACCCCCTCGGCACAGCACTGGTCTCCGCTCCCAGCACCGATGTCCCTGGTGCCACCAGCATTTCCTACCTCAGGTCTGGCTTTGCCTTCATCTGGGCTCGGTGGTCCCCATGTCCGCAGCACCCCTGAGCACATCTGAAAGAGCAAATGGCAGAGAATGAGCCTTGGGGACAGCAAGGACGGTGCCAGGTCCCCCCCAGCCCATGTGGGGGTGTGGGGAGGGGGCTGCCAACCCCCAGGTGGGTGCTGGGTCCCTGCCTCCCCCCGCTTCTCCTGCCGTGGTATTTTCAGCCTGGGTTTGCGGTGTGGCTGTAATTAAAACCCTCATCTCCCATCCCTGCAATTTCCATCTCTCGCCGTTTGTCTCGGTGGTTTGGGCTGGAGATGTGTATATATATTTAATTGGTATAAATAATACATTTTCATCGCCGGATCTTTTCTCAGCCCCATCTTTGGTGCCAGAAATCACGTTTTTGTTTCAAATGGGCTTTTCCTTGCGTGTAGCGTCCCTCAGCTGGAGCACATTTCCTCTCACAGCCGCTCCAGTTCACTCTGTTCACCCCAAATGTGGGGGGCAGGGCTGTCCCCAATCCCCTGTGCTGCAGCCAGGACCTGCTCATGATTAACCCCCACTTTTCTCCTGTTCTCCCTCTCTTCATTGCAGGGAGCATAATGCTGACCAGCATCACCGATGGGCTCCTGTGCTGCCTGATGGGCAAAACCACCAATGCCGTGGGGCCGCTGGACAGTGTTGAGTCCAGCAATGGCTACAGCTTCATGGAGGTGAAGCCAGGGAGGATCTTACGGGTCCGGCACAGCGCGCCCAACCGCCTGGGACCGGAGGGGCCTGAGGAGAGCCAGCCTGGGGGGCCGGAGCGGGGCACAGTGCACTGCAAGCGCAAGATCACCGTCTACCGCAACGGGCAGCTGGTGATCGAGAACCTGGGCGACGCCGTCCGCTCTGAGATCCTGCACTGCCGCCACAGCGGCTCGGGGGAGCCCAGCAGCACCGTGGAGCTGGAGCTCTCCGAATTGGCTGCCCAAGCGCCTGCCGGCACGCCAGGATGCGGCACACCGGGATGCGGCACACGGGAGGGCAATGCCACCGCCGCCCCCGCCAAGCGCCGCAAGCGGAAACCCAAAAAAGTGGTCAACATCGACTGCAAGAAGCAGATCACGAGCTGCAAGGGGACGCACGGCGACGTGGTGCTGTTCTTCATCCACGGCGTGGGCGGCTCGCTGGACATCTGGAAAGAGCAGCTGGACTTCTTCATCAAGCTGGGCTACGAAGTGGTGGCTCCTGACCTGGCTGGCCACGGCTGCAGCTCTGCTCCCCAAATTGCCGCTGCCTACACCTTCTACGCGCTGGCAGAGGACATGAGGGCCATCTTCAAGCGCTACGCCAAGAAGAGGAATATCTTGATAGGACACTCGTATGGGTAAGGGTTCCAGGAGGGAAGGGATGGGTTCATCCCCCCCCCAAATCCTCTCCTTGGCAGCAAACACCCAACAAATCCTGCACTTCGGGGGCTGTGGAGCAGAGGAGGGGTTTCCTGTTCCGGGTTTATGCCTCAGCCCTGATCTCCTCCGTCCTCTTGGTGTTTGTCTCTGGGTCCAGCTAATCCCAGAGCCCGTCCTCCCACAGGGAAGCTGCCGGAGCTCGGCCTATTAATAGAGTAAAGCCAAGAAAGTCAATTAGACGGAGACTAAGCAGGGCTGGAGGAGAGGGAGCCAGAGCTGGGCAAGATTAGATCAGGACAAGGCTGATCAGGACAAGGCTGCTCCGGGTTGGCGGGCACCCAAGCGGGTCCCTGCTTTGGTCTGCACAGGGGTGAAACCCCCAGCTCTGCCTGGGCTCTGTGGGATTGGTCTGGGGTCACCCTGTCCCAAAAGGGCGAACAGGGCTCAAATGAGGAGGTATAGCCTGGAGTCCAGCCATGGATCCTTGGGATGCAGCCATGGATCCTTGAGATGCGGCTGTGGATCCCTGGGATGGGGTCCCTGGATCCCTGGGATGCAGCTGTGGAGCCTTGGGATGTGGTCCTGGGTCCTTGGGATGCAGCATCCTGCAATGCTGCGGAGCCGGAGCATGGCCCTCATGTCCATCTCTTTCCCGCAGGGTGTCCTTCTGCACCTTCCTTGCCCACGAGTACCCCGAGCTGGTCCATAAGGTGATCATGATCAATGGGGGGGGCCCAACGGCGCTGGAGCCCAGCCTGTGCTCCATCTTCAACATGCCCACCTGCGTGCTGCACTGCCTGTCCCCCTGCCTGGCCTGGAGCTTCCTCAAGTGAGTGGCTGTCCCCTCACCGCTGTCCCTGGCCACCATGGCCACCACACTGGGCTAACCCTCTGCTAACCCTCTGCTCCGTCCCGGCTCCGTCCTGCAGGGCCGGCTTTGCTCGCCAAGGTGCCAAAGAGAAGCAGCTGCTGAAGGAAGGCAACGCCTTCAACGTCTCCTCCTTCGTGCTGCGCGCCATGATGAGCGGGCAGTACTGGCCTGAGGGTGACGAGGTTTACCACGCCGAGCTGGCTGTGCCCGTGCTGCTGGTCCATGGCATGCACGACAAGTTCGTCCCGGTGGAGGAGGACCAGCGAATGGCTGAGGTACGGGACCAAGCAGGGCTGGGGGTGGTGGGCAATGCGGGCAGGGGGCTCGTCCTGGTGCTGACACCCACCACTGTCTCCCCCCAGATCCTGATGATGGAGGGGGCGCGAGGGGGGCAGCCACATGGTGATGATGGAGTGTCCTGAGACGGTCAACACGCTGCTCCACGAGTTCATCCTCTGGGAGCCCGAGACGCCAGCCGGGGACGGCCAAGGCGAGAAGAAATAACGCGGCGGGACGCGGTCACCAGGTGCTCCGATGGGAGAGATGTTGCGGAGAGCGGAGGGGCGCGGCAGAGGCTGCCCTCGCCCGGAGCTCAGCCGATTTGCATTCCCGGCCGCAGCAGAGGCGGACGGAGGAGCACGGAGGCTCCCCCGGGCAGGGTTGCGCGGGGCCGGCAGCGGTATCACGGCAGCCCCGGTCCCTGTCCCCTCGGGGACCGCATGGCGGCCGCTGGAGCGTCTTCATCCTGTTTCTTTGTAGTATTCTTTTCCTCACACAGTGACACCCGGGGATGGCTGCGGGGAGCACTGGTCCCACCTGCAGCAAAATGGGAAGAACTCAGAGGAGCTCTTCTGAGGAGAGATCGTGGGGACCAGCACCGGAGCCGCACTGGGTTTGCTTTATGGGAAAGCCAAAATTCCTCGGCCTCAGCGGGATTTGGCTCTCTGAGCCCCACAGAGCTTCGCTCGAGCCATCTGTAGGGCCAGGGGGACGGCACCACCATTGTCACTAGTAGCTGTGCCCATGGTGGCCAGGGCCAAGAGATGAGGATGAGGAGGTGACCCACTCCTGTGGGCACGGCCAGGACTGTCAGCTGGTGGGGAGGACAACGCCAACGCTGTGCTCTCCTGCGGTCCCCGCTGTCACCGTCCATGCAGTCACATCCCCAACCGCCATTGCTTTAGGTACCGCAGCGCTGGCTTCTGCAGAGCCCTCCACTTCCCTCCCACTGGCACATCCCAGGGATGCTTGGAGCCATTGACACCACACAGCAACTCCTGCAGTACCCCATACGCTCGTCCGTCCCAGCTCCTCCACAACTCCAGGACCACCGCCCGCTCCCGGATCCCTGCCGGGATCACGCTGTGCACCGGGGGATCAGCATCGTCACGTTGCTGCTGTGTCCATCCTTGTCGACAGCTCCCATATGGATCCGTGGGATTTCGGAGCAACACAAAGCAAACCGCAACCGTCTGATCCCAACGAACGTCTCGTTCCCTGCCAACCCCATTCTGTACATAACCCATCATCGCACCTTACATCCCGCTGCCAGGACCCAGGCAGGACCGAGAAGGTACACGAGTGGGGACCCGTGTGCCATCACGGGGTCTGGGGTCTCCCGACTGTGCTGGGATGGGTGGAAGCCTGGGAAACCCAAGAGATCCCCAAAGAACGGAGCTGCTGCCTGCTTTATTTCCCCATTTCCCCTCATTTAAACCAAAGAACCAACCTATTCCATGGAAACCTCACCCCTGGCCCACCTTGTCCCCCCTTGCCCCACACAGTGCTGGCACCAGGACCCCCAGCTTAGCCCAAGGGGCTCTGGGCTGGGCAGGGCCACTCCAACTGGAGCTGTGCCCCCGCTGCACTCTCCATCCCCAAAACTGAGCCCATCTCCTCCCTAAAATGAGTGGTGTAGAAGAGGAAGGGTCCCCCAGAGCCAGTGATGGGGTGACAGGGACCCTCAATGTCCCTAGGCATTCCCCCTCCATCCCAGTGCCCACTCCCGCCCACTGCCACCACAACCTGTCTCATAATGAGAATTTTAATTACCCTGGGTTTAGATAATTTCCATGAGCCTTCTCCCACAACACTCCCCACCCCATCCTGGCCCAGGGTACCCAGAAATGCCCCTGTAACCCCAAAACACGGCTCTGCCCCCTGCCGTGACCCCCCCAGCTGGCTCCAGGCAACTTTTGGTGCCACGGCTCTTCGACCTCTGTTTGCCATGGAGTCTGCGCCGCTTGTACCCACATCGCTTGTGCTAAGGCCAAGGCAAACCGTGCGCCGCGTTAGTGCCATTTCATACAGTAAAGCCGTGTTATATTCTCAGCTGCATCTGCCTTGCGTGTCCAGGAGCACGGCCGAGTGGGGAAATGAAGCCAAAATCGCAGGCGGCATGGATTTATTAGCAAAAAATAAGACCTGCAGTGATTTATTTATCGCCCATTAGGGAAATAGAAAAATAGACAACGTTCTTGCCAGTGTTCATGACATAAAAAGGGGAAATCCCAGCCACGGGGGGGCT